CTATTGACCAGGATACGGACAATGACAATAACGAACAAGACAAAGACCTCGACTAGGAAACTACACCCCTGCAGCGAAATAACAACTCCCCAACTCCAAATAGTAATCCCAAATGTTTGGAGTAATACTAATCGACTGGTCTAGGGGGATTCCGCGTCGTACTTAGTTTTAAGTCGGCGTAATTGTCCCCCAAAAACCAACAACCTCCCGTCCCTCCTCCTATACCTTATTGGGCGTATAGCATCGGCTCGGCGAACCCGAGAATGGCTATTAAAACTATTTGCATCTCGCTCTCGAGCCCCAAATAGGGGACAGTACGGAACGCAATGGACATTCGCACCCAGCAAACACGGGTGAAGCCATGAAGTTGCTGGGGGCGAACAAAAATCGGCGTAAGTAAACATAGGCCTGTACGGGGTCCGAGAGTGATGATGAAATGGGGCTGGTTATACGTCTCTTATACTCCTATACTCATACTCAAACTTACCTATTTCCCTGTAATGTGATATTCGTACTAACAATGTTAATGATATATTGAATATTTATTTTCAGTTTAGAGTTTATTGATTTATTTTGTTTATTATAAAATACATTTATTTGGTTTATTTTTTACTGTTTATTCTCTATAAGGTATGTATGTGTGTCCTCGAAAACACCATGCAGTTTTTGAATAAAAGTTTTATATTTTATTACAAGTTTTATTTTAACAATTTATATGCACGAATTACAGGCTCATACCCTATAATGCTGTTTTTTGCTAATTCTGAAGTTAAAAACAATTATTAAAACTTAAATGCTGTTATTATCATTCGTTTAAAGCGTAATAAGTCATTAAAATATTCCGAATATGTCTCGAATATGTCTCGTCTCGTCTCGTCTCGCCTTGTCTCGAAGGATGTTATCTCGTCTCGTCTCGTCTCGAAATTCGAGACAAAATGCTCTCGAGACGAGACAAAATGGCTTCGAGACGAGACGAGACGAGACGAGACGTCTCGTGTCTCGTGTCTCGCGGCACCTCTTCTTACTTTAAAAATGGATATGTCTCCGAATGATGTTGCCAGAGCCATTAATTTAATCCAGGATGGACGGTCACAGTATTACGTGGCAAGTGTTTTAAACGTCACAAGAAGTAAAGTACAGTCGGGGACATTTTTAAAAGTAAGAAGACACCTCAAAATTAACACATTAATTTACAAAAAACACTTTAATAGCTTTTAAAGCAGTATATGACATGTCGAAGTATGGAATGATTCAACAAAACTGTCACTGTCATTCTCCATAGCCTATGGATGGACCATAGCAACCTTAGTTCTTCATACAGGAAAAATATTGCAAATTGCAATTGCAAGGATGTTATCTCGTCTCGTCTCGTCTCGAAATTCGAGACAAAATGCTCTCGAGACGAGACAAAATGGCTTCGAGACGAGACGAGACGAGACGTCTCGTGTCTCGTGTCTCGCGGCACCTCTTCTTACTTTAAAAATGGATATGTCTCCGAATGATGTTGCCAGAGCCATTAATTTAATCCAGGATGGACGGTCACAGTATTACGTGGCAAGTGTTTTAAACGTCACAAGAAGTAAAGTACAGTCGGGGACATTTTTAAAAGTAAGAAGACACCTCAAAATTAACACATTAATTTACAAAAAACACTTTAATAGCTTTTAAAGCAGTATATGACATGTCGAAGTATGGAATGATTCAACAAAACTGTCACTGTCATTCTCCATAGCCTATGGATGGACCATAGCAACCTTAGTTCTTCATACAGGAAAAATATTGCAAATTGCAATGTTTTTTTAAAAAAATCCATATTAACTATTTGCCGCAGTGATAAGTATACCACTAGCAATTAGTGAATACTCACTTTTTTATGTAGCGATTTCTTTGCACTAATTTATTTAGTGGAAATTACACTGTACAAATTAGTGAAATAGGTTTAGTAGTTATGATAACTGTTTTCCACAAATTAAATATATCAAGGTGAACCAAAAACAAAACTGTTAAAAATAGATGTGACTTAATAATTAAAACTTAATTTAGAACAATATACGGTTTTGCCACTCTACAGAAACTTATGGTAAAAAACATCTTTTTGTTTAAACCTGTATATTATAAACGTACGTGTATTTTTTAGTAATTTTTAAAATGTGAGCGATTCTCCATTAATGTATCTACAATATTCTTTAATATTTGTTTAAATCCGAAAACAAATAAAAAAGTTATTTGCGATTGAAATTCATCGAAAATTTGTGTGGATCGATTATTTTGCCTGTGAGTGTAACTATAGTTATACTTATATATTGCAATACCGCTTAGGTACAAACGTAGCAAAAATGAGATTTGGTATTTAGATTGTTTATATATTTTTTACATTAATATAATAATAAATTACGCGGAATTGCAGTGTCACCTACGAAATGTTTAAGGGAAAAGGAAAGTAAAGGTAAAATTTAAAAGAAATAGCTATGACTGTTTAATTTTTATTTATTTTTACATTACAACTTAATTTTCCTGAAATCGATATTAGAAATATGATTTTTTAAAATATGAATCCTAAAAAGGGTATAAGATTTGCAGATGATTGTGCAATCTTTTCGTAAACATTTTAACTATGCTTTTGCTACGTTTCTGTGATATTTCAAGTGAAATTCATATCGTCTTACAGTTCTACAATTAACTGAAACATAATAATAAATGATTAATTTACCTACCTTTTAACAAAAATTTCTAGACTGACCCAAACTCGAAATAAAAATAAAACTAATGTGTATAACAAGTTATAGAAAACAGTGCCTTTGATTGGTTATATTTCACACGTGAATCGTATTTTTACAAAATGTTATGTATTTTTACTTATTTTAAGTAATTTCACCAATTAGATTCCTTTGTACAACGTAAAATTCATTGTTTAACTGTATATCCGATAAATTTGTACATTTACATTTAGGTATTATTGAAATTTTACGTTCTTATAAAATTTAAATTTAAATTTACATTTATTTATATGTAAAGGAAACATGTTTATCATCGTAAAACACTTGTAATTTTACATGCATTTTTTACTGTATAGGTACTATCATTTGTAATAGCAAAATATATATTAAATATATTTGCAGAATAAATTAAACAAACGTGTCGATGCAAAGTTGCGGCATGTTGTTTGAAAGCTCGCCAAACAATATATATATATATATATACAAATAAACAAACGAAGGAACGAACAAACAAACAAACAGAGCAGACAACAGTTGAACGAGGTTAATCCCCGCCACGTTTTAAATACAATTTTGATACGTTTTGTCGGGACTTTCAAAATATCGATTTAAAATTTTTCTCCATCAAAAACTTCGCATCATTTCGAAGCTGTTAGCACCTGTGCATATTTTGTGCGAAAGCCACAAAGGCAAATACAAATTAATCCCGTTCCGCACAACTGTCATCTCGTAGGCCTGCATTTCAAACGAATTCGGCATAATTGAAAGGCCGACCCCAAACAGCGAGCGGTAATTGTCATAAGTACGGTATAAATGACACTATTGAGACCATGGAGTTGTCAAATAGGCTCTCGTGTAGCCGGCGGCCTGTTCGAAAGGCGTCACGAATCGTCATTAGTGATGATTTTTGACGGTACAGCTCTTTTAAGTCGCAAGGGACGGTTTAGATACGGTTTAGTTAGTTTGTTGGAGGGTTGTTCGGTTTGTTTGTCTGCCAATTGATCAATTATGGTTTACGCTTATATATACACTAGAGTGTTTCATTAAAACGACTATTTTTTGTTTTTCACCGAAACTCCAAAAACTCCAAACTTGATTCACCTTGCAGCTCTGCATGAAAGTATTTTTTTTACTTTGCTAAAGTGCACAGTTTAAAAATATCGGAATTTTCGTTTTTGGAAACAAATATTTATTTATTCGTCTACATTAATGTTGTCGCCTTGAAAATAGTCCCCATTGGATATAATGCACATGTGCCAGCTCTTTTTCCAATACTCGAAACACTTCTAAAACTCGATCTTTGGGATAGCCTTTAGTTCTTTCAGCGATGCGCTTTTAATGTCATCTATGCTTGCAAAACGACGGCGCTTTAAGGTTCTCTTTATTTTTGGGAATAGGAAAAAGTCAGACAGAGGCATGTCTGGCGAATATGGAGGCAAGGGCATCGTTACAGTATTGTTTTTGGCCAAAAATGTTGTTCAAAATTTAACAATTTTAGAACAAATTTTATTTTTATTTTGTACATACAATATGAGTTAATTTTTGCCGTAACAAAAGCAATTGTTGGACGAATAGGGATCTTTACTTTATTAAGGGCCGGTTTATCAATGTCCGGTTAAAGTTGCAGTTACTTATCTGACAGATAATCTCCATGGATACCATTGTTCTCACAACGATCGATATGGAATTTAACTATCTGATAGACTAACTGGAACTTAACCAGAGATTGATAAACCGGCACTAAGACAAACTACTTTTTTTGTTATAAATAGAAGAGCACTTTTTTACGTAAAATTATCTGGAGAATTGTATTCCAAGATCGAGAATTAAAAATAAAAATCACAACAAAAATTATGAGGATTTTTTAATCTTTGAAATCATCCCTTTTGACTCACAATTTAACCATTGATTTTAATTTGTTTTATGTTATTCTTTTTGTATTATACTAATTTATTTCAGGTAATCCAAGATTGCAACTAATTGCTGAACTTCTAATTAATTAAAAAGTGCGAGGACTTGAAAGTAAGGTGCCCACGAAATTTAAATATCGATTTAACGAGTTTTTATTAAAATTTCGCTATTAAAATCAGTGGCGTTGTAGACCGGTACATTTTAGTCCCCGCACTCGCGCAAAGTAGTCAACTGACAATACAAACTTTAGCTTGTAGCTCGCCTTATGGTGTGCACAGTTACTGCGTTGCAGAAAAAATCAACAACGAAACTGTTTGTCGATTTTTTCTCCGATAAAACGTATTTTCTAATTTTGCTAATAACTGTGGACAGGCCATAGCGGTGTGAACCAGCTAGGGGGGGTGTTTGTCGGCGGGCGCCCTTTGCCCGACTCAACCCGGCAGAAAATAGTCGAATTGGCGCATTCCGGAGCCCGGCCCTGCGACATTTCCCGCATACTCCAAGTCTCCAACGGATGCGTATCGAAAATATTAGGAAGGTAAAGAAAAAATCATATAATTTAATCAGCACAACAAAAATTATTTATCTACATGTTTACTATTCATTCTTAAGAATTGTTTACATCTGTCTTCTCTCTAAAAATGAATTAGTCAAAAATTACTACTCTCTAAAAATGAATGAGTCAAAAATGACTAATTTAATAATTATTAGTGGCTGCTTTTTCACTTGTACTATGGTTAACTATGGAATACCATAGTATTTCACAGCCAATTCTTATGTAAAATTGTCCCCTAAATCCGAAAATGTCATCAAAAGTTAAAAAAGTAGAACCGTTTTTGAGATATAGACAATTTTCCTATATCTCTCTGCTCCACTTTCATAATTTTTGACGGTATTTTCGGTTTCAGGGGACAATTTTACATAAGAAATGGCTGTTAAATTTTGGGATACCATGGTATTCCATGGTTAACCATGGTACAAGTGAAAAAGTAGCCACTAATAACTATTAAATTAGTCATTTTTTAGACATTAGACATTTTTAGAGAGTAGTTATCACAGTTATTAGTGGCTGCTTTTTCACTTATACCATGGTAAACCATGGGAATTGGTTAACCAATTCTTATGTAAAATTGTCTACTGAATCCGAAAATACCGTCAAAATGTATGAAAGTAGAGCGGTTTTTAAGATATGGTCAATTTCAATGGAAAATAGACTATATCTCAAAAACTGTTCTACTTTTCTAACTATTGACAACATTTTCTGTTCAGGGTACAATTTAACATGGAAATTGACTGCTAAATATTCAGGCTACAAATTGCTATTGACGAGAATTATTATTGCCTGCTTTTTCGTTATGACATATTGTCTAATTTATTTTAAGAGAGTATACACTAAAGAAGCATCGCATCACATGTGATTTTCACTGCAGTGAAAATCCGAATGAAAAAATAAATTACCATACAGTCCCTGTAAATATAAATTCTACCTATTAGATACAATAAATACACATTTTAGTAACGATTTACGTGAAAATTGTAAACAGTTTAATTCAGTAAAAATCTTAAAACAAATAATGCGTCTAAATTCGAACAGAGGACTCAAATATAAAAATTTTCGATTTTAAGGTTATGTTTGTACAACAATTATTTTTTGTTAGATTTCTTAAATATACATTGCGTTGCTTCTTTAGCGTATTTCTTTTCCTTTTTCCTCCCGAATTTGACTGTTTTTGTTTCAGTCATTATTTCTCTAAAGCAACTTTCCGATTTTTTTCGACAGATACTACGAAACCGGATCGATTCGTCCGAGGGCCATCGGAGGTTCGAAACCCAGAGTGGCGACGGCAGAAGTCGTTTCCAAGATATCCTCGTACAAAAGAGAGTGCCCGTCGATTTTCGCCTGGGAGATCAGGGACAGGCTCCTGCAGGAGGGGGTGTGCACCAACGACAACATTCCTAGTGTAAGTACTAAAAAAAATACATTTTTTTCCATCGCGATCTTGTCTGGTCTCTTTCCCAGCTCTATATATGTATATGTATATATATGTAAATTACATACTGGATAATTGGATATTTTGACGCCACAATGTACCTAATATATAATTTTCCATGTATAATGTTTTATTACATTTCTTAATTTAAAAAATATAAAATAAAAATTTACATTAAAACGTTTTTGGCTAACCAATGAAATCGCCGGGCTGCCCTATATAATCAAGTAAGTAAGGCTGGAGACAAGGATGACAAATTATATTCTGATCAGAGAAGAAGAAACAAACTTTAATTGGGCGTGGTCTAAACCAAGCCATTCGTAATTAGGAACCATAGTTGCCAGGTTGCTTTAAATCAGAAGAGAACGATTATAATTATTTAATAAATAGTTCAATTTTATTTGTTTGAAACTTTAAAAATAAAATAAAAATTAATAATATGTCAAAAATAATTTGATTTAGTTAATTTTCTTACTTTTAATATTAAAAAATAAGAAAAACAACCCTTTTAGGAAACAATAATAGCATATGGCAACAGCGCGGCATGCAGCCAGATACAAGGGCATGCAGTTTGATCTACTGTGTTCAGTATATTCAGTATATTTGTTATATGGTTCAGTAGCTCCGACGCTGTCGTAGGGAAATGTGTATAGTTTTTAAGAAATACATTTTCGCCATTAACTGGAATTTAATGGATTTTAAACAATACTTAGTTTTTATTTGCAGAAATGCATTAAAACAAAACAAACGAATTCGATAAAAATAAAACCTATAAATTCTCAAACAAAAATAATTTTAAAATAACGAATCCCTACCTCAGTGGGCGGGGTTTGGCACTTGTTTTATTCAAGTGTATCTATTCGTTTTAATACACTGTATACCTATATAGAGCGTCTATTTAGGGGTTCCGTTTTTCTCGTTCTTTTTGTATACTTATACGTAAAATAAATGTATTATTACAAAAATTAAATGCATAATTTCCAAATACATGAATAGTTTTAGAAAGGAATTAAAAGCCATTATTTTTCTTAAACTTACACATTTGTATATGGGTGAATAAATTGAGATGTCCCCCAAGTAAAAATGATTATTTTTTATTTTTGGACCTGGTGCACCAGGTCTAGTAATAACATAACATAAATGGTTCTGCACTAATACAAGAATTTTAAGAAATAATACATTTTGAATATTAGAGCTTCACGGAAGATAGCTTCACGGAGGTTAGGATTTCGTATGTTTTTTTTAATTTATAAAAAATCTACTTACTGAGATATTTTTACATTCTTTATGTAAAAAAAAACGTAAAAAAATATGTAATTTTCCCCATCATTTTTATCAGTGTACGCACGCATGGTAGCAGGGCTTTATAGGCGGCGAAGGCGGCACAACGGGGGGCGGTAGGCAACAAACCGTGAAGTGTGTATTGTCGTGTGAGGGGGTGCATAGATTTGCCGCCTGTTTGCCGACGAGCGGAGAAGACACGGTGGGAAAAACATAGCTTCAAAAAGAACACTTTTAGTTTTAGAAATTCGTTTGCATTTCGAGTATACAGTTTTTATAGTCAGGGTTAAGAATGTTCGGGAAGGTTTAAAAAATGTGGAATATTTGGTGTGTTAATAATCAACTTTTAAAATGGGTTCAGCTTGATCCCAATGTGCGTAGATCGGTGGGAGAAGAGGCTCATCACTTTTCTTGACCTAAGCCGGAATTTCTATCGATTTGCCATTGTCTATCGCGAGATAAAGAGGCAGTGGGAAGGATGGAAAGGGATCTCTTCTCGACGAAATCTCGTGAGCGCGACGAAACGGGGTGTTTTATTCACCCCCGAGGTCGTTATTAAAATCATCGGTAGTGCGTTAATCCCCTAATGTTATGGGTTATCAATCCTGCTGACTTCTTCCTTTTATGTCCGTCTTATAATTGGCAGAAAATGTCATAAATTATGTCTTCTCAAGTCTAATTCACCTATATATTTAACTAGTTAGTAATATTACTTATAAATTATAAAGTATAAATTATAATTATTCCGGGTGTATCTGAGAATAGGCGCACCCCTGTAACTTTTTTATTTATAAAGATATACACATGAAATTTAGCATGGTTAATTGGGATATTAAATGCCACTTATAAGAGTACAAAATGAATTTTTTGAATTTTCTGTTTCGCCGGAAATTATACCAACTTTCGATTTTTAAATGGAATGCCCTATATATTCTCACATATTTGGAATCCTGAGGAAATTCTGAGTCAGACAGCATTTTTTGTCGTCTCGGAACGTCCGTGTTAAATTGACCTTTTGAAGATTCGTCATCAGAAAATGTATCATCATAAAGATCAATCTAGAGTGCTTTGAACTATCTTATTTTCTTCTAATGGATCCACAAAATGCCTGAAAAATAGAACTTGCCTTAGAAAGTTGTTTTTCAGCTATTCCCAGCAGTCTAAACTTGTCAAAATTCGTTTTTCTCAAATAAACTGCGCACCACTCAATGTGTCGCGACCAAAAAGTTCGTTCTTTTTCAAAACGACATAACTTTTTTGTTTCTTGAACGATTTTATTTTGGTCTGTGATGTCTGCTAGCCTCATCCTCTGGCAATTCATGCTATAGATATGAAGCTCACGGTTCGTCAAGTAAATTTTCTACAGGGTGATATGTTAAACGATGAAAAATTTTAATAACTTCATCCAAGCCCCGTTTGTAAAAAAAATAATTTTTTTCTCGTTTTTATTTTGATATAATGAAATATTATGTGTTACCTTAAAACGTTTTTCAAGTTTTTTGAATTGGAATCTTAGCAACGACGATATGTTTTTTTCGGATTTTATTTAGACATTTAACAGCCGGGAATTGTTTTCGAATTTTGATTTTTGGTGATTTTGGTTTTATCTGAAACTTAAATTTGACAACTGAATCATAATCAGAAGGTCAAAATTATAAATAAAACATGTCACGAACGTAAATATCGGTTCAGGTTTAGTTTTCGCAAATTTTTACCAAAATGTCATTTTGAAAAAGTGGTCTTTACTTAGGCCCCTTTGAAAATAATGGAAGTTTGTTGCTTGTCGCTTGTTCAGAATTATTCAAGGAACAATCTTTCACCATCTTATTTTCTTGTTTTTAAAAAGACTGAGTATATTGCCTACCAAAAAGCCTTAAATGTACTCTTTTGTAAAAAAATCAGATTTTCGTTGTTAAGATTCCAATTTGAAAAATTTGAAAACCTTTTCAAGGTAAGACATACTTCTTCATTATTTCAAAGTAAAAACAAGAAAAAATATTTCTTTTTTCAAACGGGGCTTGGATGAAGTTATTGAAATTTTTCACCGTTTTACATATCACCCTGTAGGAAATTTACTTGAAGAACCTTGGGCTTAATATCCATAGCATGAATTGCCAGAGGATGGGTTAGCTGACATCATAAACCAAAATAAAATCGTTTAAGAAACAAAAAAGTTATGCCGTTTTGAAAAAGGACGAACTTTTTGGTCGCGACACATTGAGTGGTGCGCAGTTTAGTTCAAAGCACGAGATTGATCTTTATGATGATGCATTTTCTGATGACGAAACGTCGAAAGGTCAATTTGAGGATGCTGTTAGACTCAGAATTTACTCAGGATTCTAAATATGTAAAAATATATTTGGCGTTCCATTTAAAAATCGAGTTGATATCATTTCCGGCGAAACCGGAAGTTCAAAAAATTCATTTTGTACTCTTATAAGTGGCATTTTATATCTCAATTAACCACGCTAAATTTCATGTGTCTATCTTTAGAAATAAAAAGTTACAGAGGTGGTATTCTCAGATATTCTCGGATACACCCGGTATAGTGTTAAAGTTGGAAAGTAGTTAAAAAAGGGTAAAATAAACCACAAACCACCAAATATTACCATTTTTTACCCAAGAAGTTAAATTTAACTATTATACAATAACGTTAATTTAAGTTACTTCGTATTGTAACGGGCGAGCGAAAAACGCGCGGCACACAAGAATGCGCCCCCCCTTCCCCCCCGAAACAACAAACAAGCAAACATTTGCGTATCGATGGATCCCCGACTATTTTCGCGAGATGAGTAAATCTCTAAAGGACCGTTTATTGGATGCATGCAAATAACCATGGCAACGGTCCCTTTACAGCCAGGCGCTACATCTCGACTCCCATTTCCCCAAAACAAAAACGTTATGGATTTTTCTCTAAAATGCGCAAGTACTCCTCTTCCTTCCCGATGCTCCTGCAGCCTGCTGCGACGTTTTCCCTTCTTCGGTTTAGTCTTGAACAACGCCGAGATCATACAATCTTGTTTGGAAATCCAAGTAAACAAATATGCATGCCAGATAAAGGATACTTGTTTGGTTGGTTGTTTTCCCTCAACGGCGTATAATTAACCCATCATAAAAATAATCCCACGACCGTATATCATGATTACAAACTGCTACTCGATTTCGTCCGAGCATATTTTCACAGCACTTTCCGATCTAGCAACCGCAGACCGCTGAGACTGGTCCGTGGACTGTCCACATCAATTACTTCCACTTCGACGACTATTCTTTGACACGGTTTGTTTTATTTTCCAACGAAACAGGTAAATAAGTCGTTTAGAAGTATAAAAGAAGCCTTTTTTCGCTTTCTGACTATCGCTCTCAAAGATCTACCTACTTAGGTATACCTTTTTCAACTGACACGTGTAACAAGGCATTAACAAATTGAGACGTTTGCGGCTAAGTAACTTTGTGTATTTCAATTTAAAAATACTAGGTTACCTCTTCGTTAACTCCAATCTTATACAAAAAATATGAAAAATAGAATAACTAAACTTAATCTAAACTGACACTGACAACATAAAATAAACATAACAAAACATAAACTACAAACTGAAAAATAAAATTCGTTTAGCTAATTCTAATAATATTGAGATATAATTCAACAAATGTGTGTCTACACTTATAATGGGATAGATTAAATATGTATT